TGAAGCGAAGTTTTCAGGGAGGGGGGGATAAAAAAAAAAGGTTTGGAAAAGCTTTGCTTTGTTAAAGGTGAAGTTTTCAGCCCAGCTGGGGATCAGGACTGGGAGAGGAGCCCATGAGGAGAAGCCATGTCTGGAACACTCACAGGGGAGCCCTTGGGAGCTTTTCATTTCTGTCCAAACCTTGCTGGGAACAGCGCAGAGAGAGAGAATCGATTCCTCCAGCCCCGTTTGTTTGAGCAGATCCTGAATTGGAGTAACCTCTACCTCCCAGTTGGCAGCAGAGATGGATCCAGAGCCTGGGTGTTGTCAGGCTGGAGTTAAGCTTTACACTCAAAGGGCTCCAAGTGTTTCTAGTCCTTTTTTTTGGGGGGGGGAAACTCAAAATACCTCTCATCTGAATGTACTTCAAACAGCTCAGACCCCGTTTTTGTAGCCAGGGAGGGGGGAAACCCTTTTGTTCCTGTCCTTCCTGGAGATCCCTGCCCTGGATTTGCTGGATCTGCCCCCAGAGCACCCCCAGCCCGGGAGGGACGAGCTCCCCCAACCCCAGGGGGGAGCTGCAGAAACCACAAAAACCACAAAAACAAAAACTCACAAAACCCATTCTTTTCTCATCCAAAGCCTCCAGAGTTTAGACTTCCAAAACAGTGAAAGAATGGAGACACAGGCCACCTTCCTTCCTCGTGAGATGGACTTGTTTTATTTATTAACATTGCCGAAGGGCTTTTTAATTTTATTTTTTTTTCCCTTCATAGGCTGCGTAGTGGCGTAGAATTTTCGGGTAGGTTTAAGCTGAACCCCTCTGTGCAAAGCTATCCATGAGTAATGTAGCCCCCTCCTCTCCCCTCACCCTTTATTTCACTGCTGGGAATGCTTGCCTCTGCTTCGTGCTGGTTTTTTCCTTTGTAGCAATTCAAACTCTTTTTGAGTTTTACAAATCCAGACATCAGTGCTAGCACGGTGTTAAAAAACTCTTTCCTTTTGTTTGTTTTTTTTTTGTTTGTTTTCTTTTGTTTTTTTAATTAATTGAATTTTTTTTTTCTGTCTCAGTTTTGTTTTAAAACCTGTTTGTCATCAATAAAAAAGAAAAACCAACAAAAATACGAATAAACAGCTCTTGCATTCAAGGTGGCCCCTAAGTTTCAATGAGGAAACCATGCAACGTTCATTAAAGCTTTAGTCTGATTGTATAAACTTCAAGTTTATTACTTTTTGTTTTTTTTTAAACACAAGACTAGTACAAAAGTGGTGGGAGGGGTGTGCATAGCAGAGGGGGGGTGAGCAACTCAACTGGGAGAACTGGGAGAACTGGGAAGTGCCCCCCACCCTCTTCCAGCCCCCGGATTTGGGGGAAGTTTCCAGCCTGGGAGCTCCCCCTGCCCTGCAGGAAATGCAGAAATGGCTTTTGGGGGCTCCCAGCTGGGGCTGGGGGGGTCCAGGCAGCACCCCCGGCACAAACTCCTGTCCTGGGGGGCACAAAGCCAGCAATACTCAAAGGTTTTCCTTCCTCTGCCCGTCTAAAATGAGAATTAAATGGTTCCTGCTGGCCGGAGTTAAGCCCTTAAAACACTGAAATGTGGATTTTGGGAATGGGAATCCAGCTAAAGCTGCTCCAGGCTCGGGTCTTCAGCTCCACGGTTTGGGTGTTAAAACAAAAATGAAACGGTTAAACCCTCAGTGCTTCCCCTGGGGGGAGGTGGGAAAACTTCATCAGACCTCAAAGACACGACAGCAATAGGGAAACAGCAAAAAAAACCCCCCAAAAAAACCCCAAAGCTGCGCTACGGGTTCACAGTTCAAAAATAAAGGGAAAAAATTCAAGTTTAACTCGGATTCCTTTCCAGTTCCCCCAGAATCCCAAAAGTGGCGGGGAAGCCTCGCTCAGGGCTCCAAACCTGGGCAAAACCCCGAGCCCTGGAGCTGGAAGTGGAAGAAAAGGATGGGAAATGTCCCAAATTCGGGTCCCTGCTGCCCCTGTGACCCCCCCGGGGCTTCCCAAAACCAACAAATCAACCCAAAATCACCCAAAACAGCAGAAATGTGCAGAGCTCTGTGCTCTGCCCTCGTCTGGGGCTCGGCTGCCACCTGGCTCCTGCTCGGGGACACGCAGGGACACCCTGGGATGATGGATTTGCAAATGAGGTAAATTAATACTGATTAAATGAGCTGGGAGGGGAGGAGATGCTGCTGACCCCCCTGGATTCCCTCAGCCACGTTCCCTGCGGGGTCCTGCCCTGAGCTTGCCGCTCCCAGGGGGTTGATTTGGGGAAAATCTCCATTTCTTTAGGAAAAACCTTCATTTTTTCAGCAAAATCTCCAGTGGGTTTGGTCACCCGCCACAAGCCCTGTCCCCAGACCCCCGCCTCACCAACGACACCCTAAAAACAGCCCAAGAGAGAGCTCCTGCCTGTCCCTGCAGCTGGGTCACACCCCAGGGAACCCCCGGCCCCATTTCACCCAGAAAAGTCATTTTTATGCCCTGAGAAATCTGCAGAGTTCAGCCAAAAACCCGAAAAAGCCCCGGGGGCTCCTGGCAGCAGCAAGGGGGGAAATGTGGGATTCACAGCCCGGTGCCAGCAACGCCCCGTGGAGATGGGAACTGTCACCAGGCGTGGTCATAACCCCATAATCCCATCCCCAGTGATCCTAAATCAACCCCAGCACCCCCCGTGGAGCCGGCCCCACCCCGCTGCAGAGGGGAGCCCCCAAACGCCCCGAGACACACCGGGGTTTATTCCGTCCGCCCGTCCGTCTGTCCATCCGTCTGTCTGTCCATCATCCATCATTCATCCACAGATCCATCCATCATCCGTCATCCATCCATCTGTCCATCTCTCTGTCCATCCATCCATCCGTCCATCATCCATCCATCCATCAATCTGTCTGTGTGTCTGTCTGTCTGTATATCCATCCATCATCCATTTGTCTCTGTCCATCATCCATCATCCATCATCCATCCATCATCCATCATCCATCCATCCATCATCCATCCCTCCATCATCCATCCATCCATCCATCCATCCATCCATCCATCCATCCATCATCCATCCATCATCCATCCATCATCCATTCCATCATCCATCATCCATCCATCCATCATCATCCATCCATCATCCATCATCCATCCATCCATCATC